CAGAGCTTGGTGACGGATCAGATCAGCCTTCTGAGTAAAGAATGGAGGTGAGAGGCATTACATTGTACAGTAGCTCCCTTCCTTCACAGATCTTCCGTGGAATAACTTGTGTTTCTCATGTGTATATTCTAGCCATGCAGAGCAGTTAGTGTTGTACATGAAGGCTGAAGAGTTTCTGTCATCGGCGCTGCACGCGGCTAAAGAGAACATCAAACAAGGACAACTCCTTCCCTCTGCTACAGTCAAACAAGGTGAGACCATGACCTCTGGTTTTCAGTATCAAGCGGTCAACGTTTTGTAGACATGAAAGGTTTTTCTAGTCGTTCAGGACAGTTTTCCAGTCATGGAAACACCTGGAAATTGATTGAAATGACCTAATATCCTGGAAATAATCTTTGTTGTCTTGGTAATTAAAAAAATATTTTAATTGTACTTTAGTCCTTCACACAGATCTCTGACATAAACATGGGTGTCATTTCTACATTCATACAGCCTGTTAATGACCAAATTTACATTTGTTGTTGTGGTTGATGAATACACGTACAACAATGTTAATTCAATTCAATTTCTATTACCTTTTATTTGTAAGTTATCTCAGGACAATTTTCAAATAGAGCAGGTCTAGACTGTACTCCTTAAAATAATCCCACCACACCATATATATATATATATATATATATATAGTTACCATTGACTGTAGAATTTAAAATAAACAGCCACCGAAGAATTTTAGGTTGGGTTTTTGTTTTTGCATGATGTTGGTAGTAAAAGTTGGCTCTACTGGTTCCGCAGTCTTTGTGGAGTGTCCCATAAACCTTGATCACCTACCTGTAATGAACCCTGAGACACTTCATCATGAACCCTGCATCATTAAACGAGGAGGAATAAAACTGGGGTTAAATGTGTCAATAAGAGGAATCCAGTAAATTATATGACTGTTTGTGATTGTAATTGTATAGAGTACAGTCTGAGATAACTTCTGTTAATTGGCACTGTGCAAATCAAATTTAATTGAACTGTGAGCTAAGTGCTGTCCTGTGTTGTCAAGAAAAATCCTGGAAAATAACTTTTTAAAGAGTGGAAATCCTACTTTACCCATCCCTGTATTTCTGTGACAGTCTAACAGTGAGAATGTGCGTGTTGAAGATTGAACACAACAGTTAGTTTCTATTTATTATAATAATTAAATGTCTTTTGCGTGCTGTATTTGTGCAGTGATCAGGAAGCTGAATGAATTGTACAAGTGCTGCGTAACGTACTGCCGCTCCCTCAACCATCGGCTGCAGACCTTCTTGCTCGACAAACAGAAGCTCATGGACCGCTTCAACGGACTGACGGCAGAGAAGCTCATCTACAACCACACTGTGCACATGGTGAGGGTGTCGATATTCACTCCGTATCAGACTCCACACAGTGTGCATCGTGATCCGAACCTTAACGTGTGTGTTCTGGATGCGTTCAGGTGCAGTCGGCTGCTCTGGATGAGATGTTCCACTATGGCTCAGCGTCAGTCCAGCGTTACCAGAAAGCACTTTTGCTGATGGAGGGTCTGTCCCGAATCATCACAGAGCAGAAGGACGTTGACAGCATCGATAAATGTACGTAAATCACAGCACTGTGGCACACAAACCACACCACAGTCAGGGTTCCCACGTGTCCTGGAAAATCTGGAAAACCTGGAAATTTAGAGACTAGTTTGCCAAGTCATAAAAAAACAACAGGAAATTGATTAAAATATCCAAAATTAACTATGTTGTTAACGTTTTTATCTGGGAGAACAGGTTATAAGATTAATTTTCTGTAAAATAAAATGAATTCTACTTGATTTGAACTGTAATTTATGGGCTCTGGCTAAATTAATGTCACTGTTAGAGGAACATTTCTGCTCCGTTCAGTCAATGGCACCACGAAAATCAGCTACAAGTGTCCCATAAACACTGACCACTAGGGGTCGCCAAAAAAACTTCACAGTGGGTCGCGAGGCTTTCTTGATTTTAAGGGGTGTAAGAAAACTTACACAGTAGGTCTGTATCTCAGTATTTCACTCATTTCTGTCCCATTTCTGTAAATAAATTTATCATTTTTAAAGGATTTATGATAAACTTTGAAGAGCTCAACACAGTCTACCGACCAAAGAGCTTATAGAACAAATCAAGTATCGCGGAGAAGAAAACACCTAATTTGTCAAATAAGAAGCCTATTAAGTAGTTAAGATTGTTAAAAATAGAAAAGAAATACATAATACAGACAGATAATTGTACAAAAAGTTCCCTAAAGTATCAGAAAAACTCATCTCTGATCAATATTCACAGGAAATAATCTGCTCAAAATTCATCCAAATCGCTTGTTTTAGACAAACTTCCTGCAGTTACTGTGTTGAATTTTTACAGTTTATCAGTTGTTCTCTACTGTTGTTGTTATTATTGAATATAATATGAAATAGAATATGTCACTTTAGTAAATTATAGAAAAGGGGTCCCTAAAGGGAAAAGGTTGGGAACCACTGCTGTGTTGTCAAGAAAACCTCCTGGAAAATGAAAAATCAAAAACCACATCTTTATTCTAATCTGACTTCTTCCAATCTCTCTGTTGTTCACAGGTAAGCAGTGTATCGAGCGACGCCTTTCAGCTCTACAGTCTTAACAGTATCTGTGAGCTCTACAGCAGCATTACGGTGCCTCAGCCACCTTCCCTTGGCGTCGATGGATCCTCTCAGACTCTCAGTACACACAAGCACTTTGATCTGTCTTAAGGGAAATGACCACTGGAGCATCTGCTCTTCTCCCACCACCACCCAGTCTGCAATCTTTACATAAATGCACACTAAAGACTGGAAGTCCTGTTTTTGGACGCGTTGTTGCAGACAGATTCTGTCTCGATTGAATATTTTGATCAGGTAAATTGTTGTCAGTATTTGTTTTGTTACAGACTGTTTATATGAGTGTGTTGATTTCTGTTTTGCACATAGAATAATCAAAATGAAATAGTTGATTTTAAATGTGTTGTACTTGAAGCAAAAAAGGTGATTTGAGTTGTTTTTTTCTGTATTTGAAGAGTTTGTGTTCAGTGACGATCACTGACCAACAGGAGTCAGAATATTTTGGGTGAGATGACCAAATATCGCAAGTGTGTAGCAGTGATAGTAAAACAGAGGAGTGGACGTTGTTTGACTTCCTTTTGAGAAAAATGTCTTATAGACTTTGATCATATACTGCAATAAGTATATTTTGACATGTAAGTACTCAGTCATGAGGTACTTTAAGAGACATTAACTGCATGTTTATCTGCTGTTTGTGTGCACATTAGTTTTTTTTGTATTTTTCAGCTGTTTGGATTCATGTAAAAAGATTGTGCTAATTTTTGAATGAATTTTTACATGTTTTTTTTGCCTGACACTAGTTTATTACAATTACAATATTCAAATGTTGTGTAAATCTTAGTGTGAAAACATAAGTTTGTTAGAATTTATTAAATTGCCTTTTCTACTTTGATCAATGACTGTCAGTCCAACTTGCCAAAATTAGCTGTTAAACACTGTGTGATGAAAATAAATAATATTTATTGTTAAAACTTTGTGTTCTTCTGAAGTCTGCACACTGGAAAACCTGATGAAGAAACCGGCAGCCTATAAACGTTTAAGTTTATTAAAGATATTTAAGATATTTGATTTGAGTAGAAGTAACTCAAGTATTTATTGTTGAATAAAATTGTTTAATGATATAAAGTCAACTTCAAGAAAATGAGTCAGTGGAACAAACTGAACACATTTAAGTTCACTCAAAACAACTGACAACAATTCATGTTGAATTCATGTGGATGAGGAGGATGAATTGATGTTAACTTCGTTCTTTTATTAAGATGTGTTACAGCATTTGCACGTTAAATCAGGATGTCTCAGTTTGCTACAACATCTGACTTTCCACCTTCTCCTGACTTCTAAATAATTGATTTAATGTCGAGCACATGGAGCATACGCAATGTTTCTATATTGCAAGGTTTTAACATCAGCAAAGCCTTTTACCACTGTCCCAATCACCCCAAATCATTCTGTCCTATTCGACCAAACTGTGAGACAAAATAAAACAACCCAATTCCTAAAACAGATATATAATATTGACACATTTTGTATTGATTAAGCATTTATTTTTACTCACCAGGAGAGAAAATTAACCCTAAATAGTTATACTGTCCTTTAATTTTTCACTCTTATATATTATTTGCATTGTTCTTTTATATTATCATGTGTATTTGTTGATTGTTGTTAAGATTGGTGCATCAATTATTTTATCATAATGAAATATTTGTATATCTGAAACATTCAGCTAGTTGCTTACTAGACAAACCTACAGGAGCTTACCCTGTACTTCCTAAACCACACAGTGAATACTCACGGCTCCCTGGATTTACAACGTGAACAACTTGAGCAGTATGAAGACTAACCCAAGAAAACCTTGCACTAAAGAGGTGTTGAAATCTGGTGTTGTCCCAGCCACCACACTCATGGTTAGTCTCCCATGGGCTCATTGGCTGCCAAGATCCCAGGCCACACCCATTCCCCTGGCAATTCCCACGTCCTCTTTTCAGTCTGGTTGCAGAGAAACTGTTGAGCAAGGTCTGTCTGTGAGACATCAGAAATACCAGAGGGCCTCCATGACACTGATAAAGGAGGAAAAGATTGCAGAAAATGACCATTAAATTCAAAATGACCGACTTCCTGTTGGGTTTGGAGTATGGGTCCAAGAGAGTTTTTTGCTTGTCTGATCATAATACACCTGCTTACCAATTTTCATACATGTCGGTGGTACCTGCCGTGGGGGGGGGTGATTCTGGAGAAGGGGGCGTGGCTATGCCGGTTTGTGACGCCCACGTACGCAAACAAAAAGAATATTTAAATTTTCGTTCCCGCCGAATTTTGTGCGACGCTTTACGAGTTTCCCAGCATGTTAAGATTAATTCAGAAGTAAAAAAAAAAAAAAAATAAAATAACAAACAAAATGACCGTTTGACGGGTTGTTGACGACGTCATCCTCTCGTTTGTATTACCACTTCCGGGAAGATTGAACGACATCCGGGTCCCACGAAAGGTTGCTGCGGTCGCCATGTTGCTGAATGAAGTTAGCTTCGATAGCCGCTAGCAATATCGATATTTTATTTTTTCACGGAATAACATTTGTTACAGCATGTGACTTATCGGAAACATGACTTAGGATTTATGAAACCACCACAGAAGCCCAGTTCCCCCGTAAGTAACCCCGTTGAGGTGATAAAAATGCATTTATTCATCGGTAGCTGGCCTGCTAGCAATAACAAGCTAACATCATTAGCATTGGCTAGCACGCGTCCCGCGGGAATTAATCGTTGTAGTTGAAGAAACGGCACAAACAGCGTTATTGCGGATGATGCAGTGTAATGTTTGTGATCTGTGTGAAGTGTATTCACAGCCCAACATCACGCCCTGGCTTTATTATTCAGATAAAAGCGGCGAGCTGGCTGGCTAGCTTCTCGCTAACGTTACGCCCCGGAGCGACACTGGGAAGGAGCTAACGTCGTAACAAACAATGAGCCTGTAAAAGCCAGCAGCCCCCCCAACCCCAACCCCAACCCCAGTTAATCGAGATAAAATAGTGCTGTATGCAGATTATAGTGAAGTGCTGTAGAGCTGCAGAGGTGCGTCTTGTTCTGCAGTTAAAAGAAAACATGTTTGTTTGGTGCAGTTTCACATTATGGTGGTTTTTAAATTGTGTGAAAATGTAATTTCTGATGCAAAAATAATCATTCCCACACAATGTTGAATCAAAATATCTGTTGACGTTGATCGCAATGTGATGTTTTTACCATTTCGTGCAGCCCTTTTTAAAATGCAGGGGTTTGTTTTCACTGATGTAACAAACTCAAAACAGCAGATTAGACTAGACCAAGCCTATCATTTCCATTACAGGACAATCTATATTAAATCTGGTGATATAGATCCAGTGCTAAAGGTGCACACAGAAGGAAGGACGGGTTGTAGATATATTACGGTAAAGGTGCACACAGATGTAAGGATGGGTTGTAGATATATTACGGTAAAGGTGCACACAGATGTAAGGACGGCTTGTGGATATATTACGGTAAAGGTGCACACAGATGTAAGGACGGGTTGTAGATATATTACGGTAAAGGTGCACACAGATGTAAGGACGGGTTGTAGATATATTACGGTAAAGGTGCACACAGATGTAAGGATGGCTTGTAGATATATTACGGTAAAGGTGCACACAGATGTAAGGATGGGTTGTAGATTTATTACGGTAAAGGTGCACACAGATGTAAGGACGGGTTGTAGATATATTACGGTAAAGGTGCACACAGATGTAAGGACGGGTTGTAGATATATTACGGTAAAGGTGCACACAGATGTCAGGATGGGTTGTAGATATATTACGGTAAAGGTGCACACTGATGTCAGGATGGGTTGTAGATATATTACGGTAAAGGTGCACACAGATGTAAGGACGGGTTGTAGATATATTACGGTAAAGGTGCACACAGATGTAAGGACGGGTTGTGGATATATTACGGTAAAGGTGCACACAGATGTCAGGATGGGTTGTAGATATATTACGGTAAAGGTGCACACAGATGTCAGGACGGGTTGTAGATATATTACGGTAAAGGTGCACACAGATGTCAGGACGGGTTGTAAACTATATTACGGTAAAGGTGCACACAGATGTAAGGATGGGTTGTAGATATATTACGGTAAAGGTGCACACAGATGTCAGGATGGGTTGTAGATATATTACGGTAAAGGTGCACACAGATGTAAGGACGGGTTGTAGATATTTTACGGTAAAGGTGCACACAATGTCAGGACGGGTTGTAGATATATTACGGTAAAGGTGCACACAGATGTCAGGATGGGTTGTAGATATATTACGGTAAAGGTGCACACAGATGTAAGGACGGGTTGTAGATATATTACGGTAAAGGTGCACACAGATGTAAGGATGGGTTGTAGATATATTACGGTAAAGGTGCACACAGATGTAAGGACAGGTTGTAGATATATTACGGTAAAGGTGCACACAGATGTCAGGATGGGTTGTAGATATATTACGGTAAAGGTGCACACAGATGTAAGGATGGGTTGTAGATTTATTACGGTAAAGGTGCACACAGATGTAAGGACGGGTTGTAGATATATTACGGTAAAGGTGCACACAGATGTAAGGATGGGTTGTAGATATATTACGGTAAAGGTGCACACAGATGGAAGGACGGGTTGTAGATATATTACGGTAAAGGTGCACACAGATGGAAGGACGGGTTGTAGATATATTACGGTAAAGGTGCACACAGATGTAAGGATGGGTTGTAGATATATTACGGTAAAGGTGCACACAGATGTCAGGACGGGTTGTAGATATATTACGGTAAAGGTGCACACAGATGTCAGGACGGGTTGTAGATATATTACGGTAAAGGTGCACACAGAAGGAAGGACGGGTTGTAGATATATTACGGTAAAGGTGCACACAGATGTAAGGACGGCTTGTAGATATATTACGGTAAAGGTGCACACAGATGTCAGGATGGGTTGTAGATATATTACGCTAAAGGTGCACACAGATGTCAGGATGGGTTGTAGATATATTACGGTAAAGGTGCACACAGATGTCAGGATGGGTTGTAGATATATTACGGTAAAGGTGCACACAGATGTAAGGATGGGTTGTAGATATATTACGGTAAAGGTGCACACAGATGTAAGGATGGGTTGTAGATATATTACGGTAAAGGTGCACATAGATGTCAGGATGGGTTGTAGATATATTACGGGAAAGGTGCACACAGATGTAAGGACCGGTTGTAGATATATTACGGTAGAGGTGCACACAGATGTAAGGACGGGTTGTAGATATATTACGGTAAAGGTGCACACAGATGTAAGGACAGGTTGTAGATATATTACGGTAAAGGTGCACATAGATGTCAGGATGGGTTGTAGATATATTACGGTAAAGGTGCACACAGATGTAAGGACCGGTTGTAGATATATTACGGTAGAGGTGCACACAGATGTAAGGACGGGTTGTAGATATATTACGGTAAAGGTGCACACAGATGCAAGGATGGGTTGTAGATATATTACGGTAAAGGTGCACACAGATGTAAGGACGGGTTGTAGATATATTACGGTAAAGGTGCACACAGATGTAAGGACAGGTTGTAGATATATTACGGTAAAGGTGCACTATTAAAACCTGATGTATAACTGCTTAAAGGTGTATGTTTTGGGCTTAAAGGTAACAGCTCTTGGCTTTTGAACCATGTATGTATGCACAATAATTATCAGGACAGATTAAAAATATGAACTTCTTTTTAAAATACAAAAATTACAAACCAAACACTGGCACAAGATTTTAAAATACTATAAATACTATTAGTATTTAAATATGAAAAATTGAAAATGAATTTTTTTTTTACCGAAATGGACTTCGGTCCATTTGTGGCTCATATTAAATAGTTTAAAAAATAACTTACTTTCGTGCTTTGCTGTGTCCTTTCTACAGATTGTTGTGTTTAGACATAGTAACAGTGTCACGCAATGCACCATGGAAGTGGATCACAGAATATGCAACGACAGCTCCAGAGATCCAAGTCTGTCAGTGGGTCTGAAGCAGAGGAGCAGCAGCAGCCCACCATGGCAGTTACACAGCAGCAAGCCACAGTCAACCACCCTCAATCTCCTGTGACCACATTTACCTCCGCTGCCAGCCCTTCCGCCCCCCAGTCGCCTAATTATCAGATAATCATGAGTCGTAGCCCGGTCACTGGCCAGAACATGAACATCACATTACAAAATGTGGGGCAGATGGTGACTGGTAACCAGCAGATCACCCTAACCCCAGTCCCCATCCAGAACCCAGGATCCCCTGGCTTCCAGCATACTGCACCTCAGTGGAGGTTTGAGCCCGCTCCATCCTCCTACATCCAGGTCACCTCACCTGTGCCCCAGCCCATGCAGCCCCAAAGCCCCACCCAGCACAGCCCAGTCCCCCTGCAAGGTGTGACGAGGCCAGGAGCACCGACAACAGCACTGGGTGTGTGTGGGCAGAGTCCAACGCGATTTGTTGAAACTGGTATGATAGTGCGGCAAATCAGTTTAGGCAGTCCATCGGGAAGTGGCCACTTTGTTTACCAGGAGGGGACGGGACTGGCCCAGATCACCCCAGCCACACCCGGCCAGGTACAGCTGGCCTCTCCGGGAGCTCCGGGCTCTGTGAGGGAACGGCGGCTCTCTCAGCCTCACTCACAGACCGGAGGCACCATCCACCACCTCGGACCCCAAAGTCCCGTGGCCACCGGTACTGCGCTCTCCACTCTGGGCAGCCCCGGTCACATCACCACATCCAACCTACCTCCACAGATCAGCAGTATCATTCAAGGACAGCTCGCACGCCCTATGATATTTGAGAAGCCGTCGCAAGGTGTGGTTGCCGGAGTAGGAACCACAGCCACGGCGTCGTTCAGCATACCCTCCTCCATTCCACCCTCTAGCCCATCCCTCACCAGTCCGACACAAGGGATCTCCAACAATCCTCTCATGTCAACAGGCATGGCTGTGGGCGGCATGAAGAAGCAGGTTCCCAAAAAGTTAGAGGAAATTGCTCCTTCTACGCCAGAGATTGCTCAGCTGAGGAAACAGTGCTTGGAGCACCACACCAAGAAGATGGAAAGCCTGAAGGAAGTGTTCAAAGAATACCTGATTGAGCTTTTCTTTCTGCAGCACCTCCAAGGGAACATGATGGACTACTTGGCTTTTAAGAAGAAGCCCTGTGTTCCCTTGTACACTTATTTGAGACAGAACGACTTGGACCTTGAAGAGGAGGAGGAGGAAGAAGAACAGTCTGAGGTCATTAACGATGAGGTATTAAGTTGGCTGCCTCTTGGTGTGAGATCATGAAAGGACTTGTATAATTTAACAGATTAAATTAAATAACCGTGCATTAATTTCATCCGATGAATATCGCTCCTCTTGCTCATCTGTATTATTTTCAGGTAAAGGTTGTTACTGGAAAGGATGGCCAGGCAGTGACACCAGTTGCCATAGCAACACAGCTTCCTCCCAATGTTTCTGCAGCTTTCTCTGTCCAGCAGCAGTTTCAGGTGATAGAGGCAACATTTGCTTCAGCACTTATTACAAAGCAATTATCTACACTTTCTTTCTTAGATTCTACTGAGAATCTTTTGTAGGATGAAATCCCTTACTAATTCCTAGAGATGTGTTTTTTTTTCTTTCAGGGACACCAAGGGGCTGCTGCTGGCACAATGACAAGCCCTGGAGAAATGGATGCCTTTAAGAGGCAACAGGCTATGGTGCAAGCAGGTAGGGCAAGGATCGTAGACTCCTGTGTCTCTTATGTTGCTTTGTTTCCTCCCCGTTTGCTTTGTTTTCTGTTTGTTTTCTTTTCTCCCTCTAATTGCTTCTGCTTTTAGATATTTGGCATCCTCTACTAGCGCTCTGTGTTGAAGTCTTAACCCCGAGGAAGGAGAGGTGACCTGTAAGGTCTTCAGAAGGTCATTGCTCTGTGCAGAGTGCTTTTGTTTTGCGTTATGAGGGTATTGTGTGTTTTAAATCCCAGATCAGGCTAAGAGGTCCCGGATTGACGTTGGTCGCCATGGGCTGATTTTCCAGCATCCTGGTGTAGCTCCTTTAGGATCACCTGGCGTTCCACTCCAGCAGCTTATGCCAACTGCGCAAGGTAGGAGTGCTACTACCAGGCTGCTCTGTGTTCTGTTCGATGCTGCCGGACGTAGCCCCTTCCTCAAACTAAGGAGATTTTTAAAAAAAGTGAATCACAACATTCATCTTCTACAAACAAACTTCAAGCAGCATCAACAAACAGATCTTCATCCATCTGCTGGATTTTCTCAGCAGTCCACAGGAAGTTCAGGCTTAGCTGTACCAGCACCAGCTCTCTCTCTCTCTCTCTCTCTGTCAGGAAAAATGGGGAAGAAGACAATCCAAGTCTGAAGAAGAGTAGCCACTCATTGGGAAGATGCCATGTCTTATGATTTTCCTTTTTTGTTTTAACTATTGATCACCCGTCGTTATTCATCTCTTCTTTTCTGAAGTTTGTTCCTGTTAGTCGTCATCTTTATTTGGACAGACCTTCCCGTGCTGATGGATGTTCATCCAATTTTGGAGGTGGATCACAGAAAGTGGGAACCCTGTGGGAAAAAAATTCACTTTCCAATGGGTTTTTCTTGTTTTCCCATTTTATGAATCCACGTGTCATGCGTCCTTTTGGTTTTACCATTGTCATTCCTTCACAAAGTCTTTCCCTCTCCGATTGTCCGTCCTTGCATCATCAAAACGGGATTCAAAATCATCAATCTTCCAATTCATGTGTCGCATCTTCAAGAGTCTCTTTATTTATCTCATGTTCATGTTTAGTTGATTTCCTTCCATGTTATCTCATGGCATTTTGTTCTGACTTGGCTTCTTTCCCTCAGTCTAAGTAGGAGGGGAATCATGTGGAGGAGTTGCGTTTCACGGCACGGGTTTTTGCGATTGTGGTGGTGTGGGTGTGTCAGGGCCAGGTGTTGATGGCGTCTAGGCAAGGTGGTGTGCCATGCAGGGAGGTAAGGCAGGCGCTGCTTTAGTGTGCACAGCTCCGCTCAGGCCTGCTGTCTGCAAGAACCCCATGTGTGTCCTTTTGCTCACCTCTGTGCTTTGTCGCTATGTGAGGCATCCAGATGCCTTGGTTACTGCTAGAATGACATCGCTTCATGCATGCCCAAACATATGGTGTTTTTGTGAGTGTCCGCTCTGTATTTTTATTTCCCCTTTCTTCTCCTTGTCTCTTTGTTTTCAGAAGTTATTGTTTATTTCATTTTCCTTTGTAACATTTCTATTTTTCCTCTTAAAAAAAAAAACCTTCTTATTGCACGTATAATTTTTGATGTTTTTAACCACATTCTCTCAACTTTTGAAATGCAATGTTTTGGTTTTGCATTAATCAAAGTAGTGTTTTATTTGAGAGACATGTAGATTCTCACATTGATTTCATTTCTTCTGTAACCATTTTGCTGTATGACTTTCATTAGTTTCCGCTCTGATCATCAGGAAGTAGTTCAACACTGTTGATTCATACAGTACTTCTAGTTCCTTAAGGCGAGGTTCTGAGGAGCTCTAATAGCTGAAGCTCAAACACTTATTTAAATATACACGGTATTATTTCATTATCTTCAAAATATGTATCTTGTTCAAAGGGGTCTCTCAAATATATATTATGGGAAAGGTACCAAATACGTAATGGCATTTAAAATCTTTTTTAGAGCACAAAAAGACAAAACACTTCACGTCAGATCGCACAATTGTCAGCTTGATTCTTACCGTCTTTCTCTGTGTTGCTTTCTACACCGCCCCTTTGTTTGTCCTATAATTTGGTCACTATGTGTACAGGCGGAATGCCGCCTACTCCTCAAGCGGTCCAGATTGCAGGACAGAAGCAGAACCAGCAACAATACGACCACTCCAAAGGACCTCCGGTGCAGAATGCCGCCAGCCTGCACACTCCTCCTCCCCAGCTGCCCAGCAGGATGCCCCAAGGTTCCCTCCCTATGACCGGCCTACCCATGACGCTCTCTCAGCAGACTCAGTTAGTGGACAACACGGCCCAGCCTGGTGGTCAGCTCCAGGCACAGGTGAAGGTGCAGCCAGGTGGGTCTATCCTGACCGCAGTAAACCCACACACACAGCTCCAGGCCCAACTGCAGCAGCAGATGCAGCCAGGTCTTCACCTTCAGTTGCAGCCCCAGCAGCAACAATCCCAGGCCATGCTTCAGTCAGGACAAGCGGTCAGTCTTCCTAAAACCACATTAATACAATTTAATGTTAATTTGTGACTAAATTGCGAGACTACCAATTGTCCTATTAAGAATATTTGTTTCTTCCTTCTTCTCAGACGGTGGCACTTGCTCGCCCTGGTACAGAGTCAAACCAGCCAGTTCAGAGAATCATGACCAACTCAACTCACTCCATGACATCCATATCTTCTGCTCCCCTCTCCGCACCCAATGCTCTTCCAACCCCACATACTGCAAGCCCGCTCCGCCCTCTTGGCTCCAACATCAACCCGAGCACCCAGTCCAAACTGACTGGAACCAATGGCATATCCGCTGTCAAAATTGGTGGCTTTGGTCAAAGTGCGACCATGCAGTCCTCTCAGGAGGGTACCCAAGATAAGCAAGTCGAGCAGGCCAAACTGGTGAGTTCCCTAACTGCACTTGGTGTTCCTGGCCCAAATAATACACTTGTACTGTCTCTATTTTCTTTCAATTTTCTGTTAATCAAAGCAAAGATGATTACTTTTAACTTCCTCATTATGACATTGGACAAATGCAAATAATTGGCATAAGGTTATAGACAATTCCCAGTGATGTCTGTTGTTTTTATCCATTATATGTTCTGCTTTTGTGCTTTGTTTTGTATTTGAGTTTGCTAAATAAGGTTTTCATTTTCCTTATTATTCTTATTGGAGCCACTGAGACACGGAGGAATATTCTTGATTTGTATTTTCATGT